GCAGCGCCCGGGCGCGGGGTCTGGGCCGATGGACAGCCCCTGCCCAGGAGCTGGTCTTCGCTGTGGCCGAGCTCCGCTCTCCTCCACTCCCTGCCCCTTCGCTGGCTGACTCGGGGCAGGCTCCAGGCGATGCGCCTGGTCTCACTCCCCTCCCACCGCCTGTGACGGGGAGCACCCTGGGGACACCCCACAGACGCTCCGCAGGCCCTGCCCCCACCCAAGGCCACTGACCAAAACGTTTCCAGCGGGGAGGCTCAGCTGTTCTCTTGCTGTCTTGTCCAGCGTCGAGCTCGTGGGTGTCCTGGTCCCGCAGCCCGGCCCTTGTCACGGCTGCGTGAGGCTCCGCAGGCCGCGGGGCTCCTTCTGCAGCTGAGGGGCACTGGGTGCTCCAGGGCGTCACCAGCGCTCGGCTCTCCGGTTTTACTGGGAAGGGACTTCGGTGCGTGGACACACCTGGGAGTGGATCTGTCCCTGTTCCGGAACCCCTTAGTCAGCCACCAGAGAGCACTGTGGCCTCCAGTGGCCGCACGGGCGGGACGCCACGTGCCATGTCCTGTCCTCTTTGACACCGCTGCTGCCGACCTCGGGACTCTTCTCCTGGTCTCTCGGCCACTTGCCAGCCTTTGTCCAGCGTCCCTGCGCCATCGCCTGTGCTGGGCCCTTCTCATTCCCACGGGTGGACACGGAGCACTGAGGGCACTGGCCCGGTGTGGCCCTTACACGGGCGGGCCCCGCATTGGCATCCGCAGCGGGGGTGTCCCCCCGCCGGTCCGTGAGCACTCCAGAAGGGTGTCACCAGGCACCTCAAATTGGACATCTGACATAGAAACCACACTTCAGTTCCCCAAAGCGGCCCCTTTTGCAGCCTGCCCACCCCCTTCTCCGAGCCCTGGACTCTGCCCTTTGCTTCGCCGTCTGCAGGTGACCTTTCAGAGTCAACGCTGGAGCTGCCCCTTGGGCCGAGGGACCGGGCAGGAGGCTGGGGGGCAGCTGGGGCACACTCGTGCCCTCCTCTGCCCAGAGCCCCAGGGACGTGGCAGCGGCCCGCCTGGCCCAGCGGCCTGTGCGGCTGCGCTGTCACAGTGCGTTTGCTTTGGCCCTTCCTCTGACCACAGCGGCGGCCCTGCTCGCGTCACCTTTGGGTCACCGCCCCTGGCCACTTCCTGGTCTTTGTTCTGAGGCAGCCTACACCTGTGTGGGCCCCAGGACGCTGGACTGTCTAACTCGCCCCACACCCCAGTGCCAGGACCCCAGCAGGAGACTCCGGAAGGAGCAGATGGCTCCCCTGGCGAAGCCCCTCCGAACACGCCGGAGTGGGGGCTCCGGTCCTCCTGGACGTGGGCTGCGGCTAACGGTGACTGTTCCCCAGGGGTCCGCAAGCATGGTCAAGGGGAGGGCCTGCCCACGCGGCTGACCCCGGCCTGCCCGTCCTCAGGTTCCCGTTCAGCCGCCCGGAGCTGCTGAGGGAATGGGTGCTGAACATCGGCCGGGGCGACTTCGAGCCCAAGCAGCACACGGTCATCTGCTCCGAGCACTTCCGCCCCGAGTGCTTCAGCGCCTTCGGGAACCGCAAGAACCTGAAGCTGAACGCCGTGCCCACCGAGTTCGCCTTCCAGGGCCCCGGGCAGGTAGGCGGGCGCCGCGTCTGGGCCTCCTCGGGCCCTCGCAGCAGGGCGGCCCCGGCACGGGCGGCTGGCCTGGGCGGGCCCCTGGACAGCGAGCAGCACTGCCAAGCAGCCCGCCCGGCGGCCGTGACCTTCGTGTCGGGAAGCTGGCGCTAAGGCACTCCGGAGATAACCGGCTGGTTGTGCGGCCGTGGCGTGCGGCCGGGCCGGCCACGCTTCTCCCTGGTCTCACCCGCCGGGCCGGCTGGCGTGGCTTGGCCGAGTCGCAGGCTCCCGGGGGGCTTTCAGGCGCCTTCCTGCAGCCGGCGGGCTGGGGAGCGGGTGGCCAGCCACTGCCATCCGGGTCCCCTCCAGGGCCCTGCTGTGCACCTGCCCTACGGAGGCCTGTGGGGCCACGGGTAGGGGGGTTGCGGCGTGGCACACCCTGCCTGTGTGGTTCGGGCTTTATGGGCTGAGGGGTGCCACCGCAGGAGAGGGCGGGGGCACAGAGCGGCCGCCTGGCGCCGGCCCTTCCTGCCTCCTCACGTTGTCCGGGCCATGGCTCAGGTCCTCACGGGCCGCCCCTGGCGTCACCTCGAGGCAGGACGTCACCGCGTGAGCTCTCGGCCTCGAAGGCCTACTGCTTTCTGTGAGGACACGGGCCGTGGGCCCGACCCCCGGTCGCACTCCACGTGGGGGGTCACTGTGTCGGGGCGTCTTGACGCAGGCTCTTCAGCCAGTCCTGGGCTCCCAGTCAGAAACTCCTGCCCCGCGGCAGCGTGGACTCACTTTCACATGCACTTCAGAGACTGGTCGGACGACCGGGGGGCGTCTGTGATCCCTCCTCGGAGTCCAGGGGCCTGCAGGGGCCCAGCCTGAGGTGCGGGCTGGCACTCATCGGGCACCTCCTGTGCGCCCTGGCACCCCGGTGACGTGGGCCCTGAGGGAGGAGGGTCTGGCTGCACCAGCGTCAGGCTGGCCGGCCAGCAGGCCCCAGCAGTGCGTCTCTTGCAGCTGGCGAGGGAGAACACAGCCCCTGCGGCAGAGGCCGGAAATGCCAACTCTGAGGAAGGGAAGGTGAGTGTCCTGCCACCCGGGCAACGGCTGCTCTGACCAAGACAAAATTACAAGCTACTACTACCACAAAAAACCCTCCTTCCCCTTCCTCCTGTTCTCAGCAAACACGGGCAGTCGTTGCCACTCTGGCCGCTGGGCCTGCCCCAGCCTGGCTTCTGTGCTGGTCCCAGCGGCAGCTGCCCCCCGCCGGCCAGGAACTGCAGGGCTCCAGGGCCTGCACTCAGCTCCCTCTCTGCCCCGTTCTCAGGTCCTCCTGGCTGTGGGGGCCGGGGATGGTCGCGGATGCCCAGGGAGGAAGACGGATACCGCCCTCGGCGCCCTTCAGCCGCCGCCAGACGCCAGGGAGCCTGAGAGACAGGTGCGGTGCCGACTGGTCTACAGTGGGGGGAGCTGGCGCCCACACCCCGGGCACCGGCGACGCCACAGCCGACTTGGGCACCCTGGGGCGTCCGGCCTGGCCAGGCCGGCGATGCGAGCCTCGCGCCCCAGCTCCGCCGAGCAGTCCTGCCCCCGCCTTGGCTCCTTACCTGTCCCCCTCTGTCCTCAGGTCCTGCCACACGGACCGGAAGCGGCCAGAGCCCCCGGCCAGCCGGCCAGCCCCTCGGGGCCTAAGAAGCCCCCACCCACGCAGCCACCTGACCACAGCTACGCCCTTTTGGACTTGGATGCCCTAAAAACAAAGCTCTTCCTCACACTTAAGGAAAACGAAAAGCTCCGGAAGCGCCTGAAAGCCCAGCGGCTGGCGATGCAGAGGCTGCGTGGCCGCCTCCGCGCCCGCGGGCAGCAGGGACTCCAGGCCAGGCCGCGGCCCCAGCAGCGCAGCTGAGTCCGTTGCTGGACCCCGGGGGCCTCTGCGGGGCGGTGGTGGCAACGCCGGGCCGCGGCTGGACACTCGGTCCTCCGTTGCTCGGCGGGAGGGACAGCCGCGCATGGTGGCCGCCTCCCTGGAGGGGCACTGTCGCGTGTCCCAGCCCAGAGGGACCGCTCCACAGCTGGCCGTGGCGCCCCGGCGAGGGTGGGTCGCCCCCAGCCCACTGCAGCCGAGGGGGGCGCAGCAGCACCCGATGGCCCGTTTGAGGGGCCCGTGTCAGCAGACAATAAAGTGCCCTGCAGTGCGGGAGGGCGAGCCGGGGCGCTCTGCTCCAGCCAGCCAGGGCTGAGCCCTCTGGCCACAAGCATCTTACGTCAGTGGGTGAAGGAGAAAAACCAGGGTCCCGCTGCTGACCGCAGCACTCCAGCTGTGCACTGTGCTGGGCGGAGGGCCAGGTGGGCAGAGGCCCCAGGGCCAGGCCCGGCGCAAACCGCCCAGATGGGGCAGCGCCTCACCACACGGATGCATGAGAGACGCTGACTGGTGTCCAGGAGAGTTTATTGTGGGGGAGGCGCCTCTGTACAGTCTATTCCAAACAGGGAGATGGACACGCAGTCGTCGGGTTAGCTGGCACAGCACCCTGCACCGCCCCTTCAGCGTGGGCTGGGGTGGTGCCGGCCCCACAGAACCGGGCACCTGGGCCTCCCGGGCAGGAGGGTGTGAGCCGTGAGCCCGGCCACAGCGGCAGTGGGCGCACTGGGGCCCCTCTGCTCACAGGGAAGTCAGGACAAGCACGGGGTCTGGGGCCCAGAGGCTCGTGAAGGCCCAGGGGTGGGGCGCCGGGGCCTGGGGCCACCTGCTGGCCACCTGGAGCGAGTAGCAGGCCGCCAGGGCTGGGGCAGTGGGTGCTGGGCGAACCCAGGCCCCTTCAGCCCTGGTCCGGAGCTCCCCCTGCCCTGGGGGTGGCCCAGGAGAGGCGCAGGAGGACACCACTCTGCCAAGCCCGTGCCTGCGGAATGCTTTGAGAAGTTCTGGGAGGAGAAAAGAAACTCATTTCCAAAACCATTCACTCTCAGATAAAAAGCAGATTTATCAACCCACGCGGTCCTCTCCAGGTTCACTGAGCGGCATTTGGCGGGAAGCGGCGGCCCGGGAAGCTCACTCATCCGGAGAGCCGCGGGCGCCGCCTCTGCGCCGGCCGCCTGGTGTCCGGCCTGGCGCCGGCGGTGGCTCACGTCGTGCGAGGGCGGGGTTTCCATAAATACCGCGGGGCAGGCGACACGGGGCGCCGTCCGCTCGGGAGGGAGCCCGGAGGACCGGGGCGCCTCGCCCCAGGGCCGCGATCCTGGGGGGCGGACGGCGGGCGGCCTCCGCCTCCCACAGCACCCCGCGGGGCTGCGCGGCCTTCGCGTAAAGCCCGGCGCCGCCTTCTACAGGGGTAATAGAGACGTCTGGTATCTGGGTTTTCCCTTGCTTCCAAATTTTAGACTCCCAGGAAGAGTTTTCGCAGCCTCTCTCTACTCTGCTCTCTCAGCAGTTTACCCGTCCGTGTCAATCCTGTGGGCTGTGGAGGGGAAGCATTGGGGTCACAGCACCGTCTCCCTGCCGCCCTCCGCTCGAGGGCTCAGCTGCACCCGCCCAGAGGCAGATGGCCCGTGGGGGAGCGAGGCGGTGGCTCCCCAGCGCAGCTCGCTCGGTCCCCGGAGGGCCGCTCCCTCAGGCCTCCCACCAGGCGGGCCGGAGGGCGTGGGTGGGCTGTCCCCCCGCCGGGGCCGAGGGCCCTGCACGCAGGGGCCGCGACTCACACTGCTTGGGTATCCGGAGGGCCTCGCCGTCCTGCGCCATCACCTGGTGTAGGACGCCCCGGAACTGGTACAGCACTTTCAGGTTCTTCTCCTCCCCCACACACGGGTCGTAAAAGCCGGGCAGCCCCGCCTGTCAGATCAGACCGGCACGCGGGGGTGACCGGGGTGGTTGGCCACCTGCGCGGTCGGGCCGGGCCTGGACCTCCCCTCGGGACTGCTCTCGGGAGAGGCCAGCCCGGGGCTCGGAGATGCCGTGTGAGGACGTCAAGCGGCTCGCGCAGCCCTAGAGGCCCCTCTGGCTGCATGCGGTCACCTTCGTCCCCACCGAAGCCCTCGCCTGGAAGCAGAGGCTCCTGCAGGGGGCTGCGAGGCCTCGGCCCCTACTTTGCACTCGAAGGGCCCCGACCATCCCCGAGTGCACCGGCGACCGCCCGGCCCCTCGGGACGCGCACGAGGCCTGCAGGTCTGAGGGCGGCTGCAGCGAGGCCAGGCCGGGGCTAGGCGGCCGGGTGGCACTGAGGCCGCTGAGGGGCAGGCCTGGCCGGCTGCCTCTGGGCCCGGCGCCAGTACCTTGGAGGCTTCGGTGAGGATGAGCTTCGAGTCCTTCACCAGGCACTGCAGGGGCACCGTGACGTCAATCACCTTCACCTTCTCACTCTTCCTGCTCCTGTCGTTGACAAACTTCCCGTACCAGGCGTTCACGATGATGAGCCCTGAGGGAGGACCGGGTCAGCGGCCGTCTCCCCAGCTGGGGTGCTGCAGAGACGGCCGGCCCGCCCGGGAGCCACGCCTTCTCACCCATCCTGGACTCCTCTGCCTCGACGATCCTTCGGACAGACTCCTGCATCAACCGCACCTGCGGGCAGCAGAGGTGGCGCACCTGCCTGCACCTGCCGGCCCCTCCCGCCCCAGGGCCCCCCGCTCCCCCTCCAGCAGAGGCCGACTGCCGCCCACTGGTCACTGGGCCAGGGAGGCGGGACCCAGGCCCGCGCCCGCTCGGCTCTGCTGGGGCCTGCTCTGTGCCGTGTGGCGCGTCCCTGCCCGCTGCCCTGGGGCAGCGCGGCCCAGACGCCGCTGTGGGTGTGACTGGGGTGCGCGGCACTTACAGCGGCTTCTGCTTCCTGTTTCTTCTGTAGGATGTCGGTGGCTGTGCTTTCCCTCTGCTTCTCCAATTCCCTGAGGCAGGAAGCACACAAGCCTGTGTGAGCCGAGCGCCGCCTTGGCAGAGGCGCCCCGCAGGCGGTGTGTGAGCCGCTGGGTTTCTGGTTCTGGAACTTTGAAAGTATCTCCAAGCAGTCTGCTTAGCACAGGCCTGCGGGCTGAGGGGGTGCGATAGTGCGCCTTGCCAGCCCTGGGAAGACCGCCACTGACAGGAATCTTGGGGGGCTGGAGGGCAGGCTTGTAGGGGGACAGGGCCACCACCTGGGCAGACAGGCACACGCCAGGGAGCCGAGCCTGGTGCTGGAAGGCCGGGGGGCTGCTGCGGCTCAGGCACTCGGCTCGGTGGTTCGCCTCGGCCGCTGCTCAGATTTACTGTTAGGCCAACGGACCGTCTCAGACCCCCACAGGTCACATCTCTGAGGCCTGTGCGGCAACACGGGCCGCGTGAGGAGCTCCGACTCCACCCAACGCAGTGCCAGGGCAAGAATGGGTGGGACGGTGCAAAGGAAAGCTTTAGTTCCTGTGGTCAGGCTGCCAGCGGCCAGTGGCTGGACAGGACTGGAACTGGCTGGTGGGGACGGGCACCTGTGGCCAGCAGCTTAGAGGTGGGCACATGCTCCCTGAACCACGGTCAGCGTGACTGCCGACGCCCCTCAGACCGCGAAGCCGAGGCCCTGAGGTGCCGGGAACTCGCCTCTCTCTCTGAGCCCTCAGGTACGGCTTGATGATCAGTCGGTGCATGGCGAAGTAGGCCACGAGGGGCCCCACGGTGGCGTAGAACACGGCGCTGGGCAGCAGCTGGTCCGTCAGGTGGATGGGGAAGAAGTAGGTCTGACTGGCCCTGTTTAACCTGCAAGCCAGAGCAATCACCACGCCCAGGTGAGCCGGCCCCCGCGGCCAGCAGCCTCGCTCCTCTGCGGCCCTCTCCAGCTTCCCGCTGGCGCCGCGTGTGTGGCGGGGAGGCCCTGCC